AAATATGTACTCATAGTGTCCGGAGAAAGTCATGTGCGATTACGCTATTAATGGAGTGGTTTAGAGTTAATTTCATTGCCGGGACAATTTATGTGTAACATATGAAAATATCATTTTTTTCATTTTCAACAATAGAAAACCCCTTATTTTCTTCCATTCAATTAACCTTTTTCTCACACTTGGTAAATTGGAATTCAATTAAAATCTCCTTTGTTTTTTTTAGTATAATCAAAGCTTCTTCGAAAGATTAATCTTCATTTTCTTCTCATCTTTAATAGAAGTGAAAAAAAAATTACAATTAGATTTCAAGTTAACTATCATTTGCATTCTCATTTGGTATGCACCTTTTGAGGAGAAACTACAACTAATAGAGATGTTATTTGCTTGTCTGAAAAAATTCTCGCTAGGAGTTTAGTTGAATAAAGCCCCCACACTTCATAAGTTGGAGGCAGATTTGTCACTAAACATTCATTATGAGCTTATTTCCCATATTATCAAAGTTTGAGGACTACTTGCAATTTCTCTTTAAAATATGGTGCTTTTGATGCTTATTGCTCAGCTATTGGTAATCATTCCTTTTCATTTTCTAATTTCTTTTATGTATTAAAGTAGGTGGTTTATGCTCATAAAAAGGAGAGATAAAGAGGAAGAATATTAGTTTGAAGTTTTGAACTCTTGTAAAAAGGATGCAAATATCTTTTATATTAACAAATTCATTTCAATTTCTAAGGCCCACACTTTCGAGCTATTAAATACTACTAAAAATTATTACATTGTTATTGGAGTACTTAATTTAACAGAAATTAACAATAATGGCTAATGACCATTTCCACTAGAACATTAAAGACCAAAACTTTTGGCGTTTTTACAAAAGATAATGATATTACAAAAAAAAAGGTCCATGTAATCTCATAATTCAGTGGATTATAAGCATTTTTTTTTTTTATACACAACCGGAGAAAATGGAACGAGTACAAAAGAAATGATCATCTAAAGTTGAGTTTCTCTTCAAGGCCATCCGGTGGGAATAATTACTCACAACTAGCTTCCTATATCAAGCCCGAGAACTGGCTGCCGGTGGCAATGACGCCTTAACCTTCTTCCCAAAGACACCGGGATTGTAAGGCACATGCATGCTTGTAACCCACGTGTCGCCCAAGATGAACCTCGAAGGACAATATTCAAGAGCTTGTTCCGGTGTAATGGTCTTGACTCCCTGCCAGGCGGCACGGTGGGCGGTGTTGGCTCCAGGACCGTAGTTGTTGTACTCTGAGAAGTAGCAAGTGTTCATACCGAAGGTGCCGTTCCATGGAGCCCATCCTTCTGGCACGATGCTATCGTCAATGTAAGACTCCATGATGATGGTTTTGGCGTAGGCAGCCCATGGACGGGCGAGGTACGATGGCATCTTGGTCTTGAAGGGAACGTACTCGGGATGGGCTTCGATGGAGCAGTTCTGGAAGACGAGGCCAGTGTTTTCACGTTCCTCTTGCTTATTATGGGCGGCCACGATGTTTTGCTGTTTGTCTAGTGGTTTACGGAGCAAGAATTTGCAGTTTTGGAAGACTGCAGCGGCGTCACCAAAGACAAAATCGATTGTTCCAGTGATGATGCAATCACGGTAGAACTGACGCTTGCTATGCACGTAGAGTGTGTCTTGGTAACCATCTATTGTGCAGTTATAGAAAATAGAGAAATCAGACAATACCAGCAATGCCACGGCCTGATATTTGATCGCTCCTGCATAGTTCTCAAAGCCAATGTTCTTGGCAAAGAAATAATCAGCATAAACAGCTGCATCCATCAAATTCGTTAAATGTTAATTAGACCATGATTGAGAATGCATACCAATTCATGCGTCTTACAAAATATAAAATGGTTAATAGTGGGCGAATACTTACCAACCGGAGCAGTGTTGAAGGTGTTGGTACCGTCAGCAACATTCAGATGTCCTCTAATACGTGTTTTATAGGCACCGTCTCCGATCAAAACCACATGGTTCATACCGTAATCAAAGATAATGCGCTCCTCATAAATTCCCTCCTTGACATAGATGACGAAGGTCTTGGCATTATTCTTGGGGATATCTTTCAACGCTTCATTGATGGTGGTGTACTTCCCACTTCCATCCTTGGCCACGACAACGTTGGGTTTAACGTGGGTTACTCTATGGCGACCGTTACCCAAAAGTCTCCGAAATTGGGGTTTCTCGAACCAGTTGGCAAAGAAATTTTCACCGGAGTGGCCCATCACTGGAAGATCTGTACCAAGAAGGCGGCGATGGGCACCTTCATCTATCTGCAAATTGGCAATCATTGTGGACATGTCACTAATAATAGCAAGTCCATTTTTAGACAGCTCAATGGCAGTCTTCAACGCCTTCTTCATCTTCTCTCCAGCACCGGTTGTCGTGTTGTGGAAGCCATCTAAGCAAGTGTATTGATTGGCAATGGTAGCACTGAGCCAAGTCTTTAAATCCATCAGCATTTTCTCCGCCTTAGAAAAATCAAACTTTCCAATGGATTTAATGGATTTCTCTAGCTCGTTCATGGAAAAGTTCATCAATTGCTTGCAAACTCCAAGAGCCTGACGGGTCATGTTGTCCTTCTCAAGCTCCTGCAACGTGGTGGAGTTCTTGGCAGCTTGTTCAACGAACTTTATGGCCACCTTGAACGCCGCCTGAATGAGTTCCTTGGTGTCGGTGGTCCCATCAGCCTCCTTACGAAGGTTCTCCTCGCACGTCTTCTTATAGTCTGTAGGGGCGCAAATATCCTTGATAGCTTTCACTGAGGAAGATATCTGAGAGTGTTTGCTGCCACTGCTGGTGGCATCGTCGCCATCTTCGTTGTTGAGGCTGACTCCAACAGTCACGGCAACCACCATGGCAACCAGGAGGAAAGAACAGACCGCAATGGCGGCCACTCTCTTCTTTCTCTCAGAATCCCCCGAAGACATTTTAAATTTTCTTTTTTTGTTTTTTTTGAATTAGCAGCTCCTCAGTACCTTTCAAGGGGAGGATTTTAGCGTTTATATGTGTTTTTTTGGTCCCTAAAGAAGGCACAAAGAGCTGCTCGAATTCAGAGGCTCTGCAGAAAGAATTCAATAAATCTCCTTTGAAGCCTGAAGCCCCTCTGGAGACCACTAACGGGATTATTCTTATAGGGGAATATTTATAACAGATTGTGAAGAAAAAATGGATTGAATTTTGGCTCAATTTAGGTGATTTCTGTTATTCCAAAATTGAGGTTGAGAAAGAAAAGTAGGGAATGGACAAGCTAGAAAAACTCTACATTGACAGCTGAAATTAAGTTTGAAGATCTAAATTTAGGGTCTTTTAATTTGGCCATTGATTAATCTGTTGATTTAGGAAGTTAATAGAAGCACTGAAAATATTAAATTATGTTCCTTATTCATTAGCATTTGGGCGTTCAGGCCCACTAGAAGTCTGGAAGAGCACAAAAGTTGCAGAATTTAGGACTTTGGTTCGAATCCTATCCCATTCCCCTAAATTGTACTAACATGTTAAAAAAATGCCCCTCATATGCATTAGAAAGACATATTTATAATTTCAAATTAAGCCCAGCCCATGTGAAATTTTGAGGTTAAACCTCAAAGTTTAGTCCCTCAATTTTGGTACAGACCTTCAATTTGGTCTCAAAATTAAATAAATTCATATTTTAGTTCTTAAAGTTTTTTAAACTCTTTTTTAGTCTTCCTGTTAATTTTTTTTTGCTGTGACATAACTTTTTGTTAAATAATTAGTTTTTTTTTAAAATAAAATGTGAAAATAAGAGGCTTACATGGCAAATATTTTGCTTATGTATGATTTTTTAAATTATGTATGTTGCTAATTGAGATTAATGTGGCCTTAAAAATTATTAAGAGTGGGTCTCAATAAAAAAAGATAAAGTTTGGACCCAGTTAAGACAATTTTTTTTTATAAACAAAAAATGTAATTTTATTATTGAGATACAAATATTATAAGTTACCTCAAACCTTTGACATCATCAAGAAATATATCCAAGTATATCTCTTTTTTGGTGCATAGAGATTAGAGATTAAACTTTAAATTTGTGACTAAAAATACAAATAACTTTATTACTAGATAACATGGCTATGGTACATCCAAGTATATCTTACTTGGTGTTGAGTTATATTTATACTAATTAATTACTTAAAGAATTACATTATTAGTAAAACCAAATCTAAAACCAGCCCTCCTTCAATCTGCATAAGAAAGAAAAAAAGTATACTGAAGATGTTCTTCTCTTCACCAGCGTCGATAAAAATAGACTGATAACAAAATCAAATCTAACATAAAACCCTAAAACTCTATCTATTTCCAGACAAAATTGAATAAAATTCAAACAATAGGAAGACAAATCAAATCTTGATAAAGAAATACTACAACAAAACAATGGATCTTGGACTAGAAGGTTCTTACAACGAATTATATAAAAATTAGGGCATCTACAACAACAAAGAAGTTCAAATATCATTAACTCATCAATTCAATTCATCATCACAACAAAATAACTTAATAAAGGAAGTGAAAAATCATTAGGGTTTTTGCAAGTAGAGAAGAAAACACAACACTTGAATACTGTAAACTAACAAAAGTGGGAAAAAAAAGATATACAAACCCACTAAAATCAAATGATCTTTAGTCTTCTGTTAATGCAAGATGATGAATTTTTGAATCTAGAAGGTTTTTTAGCTCGACAGCGCACCATTGTTCTCCCCCCACAAGCTTTTCATAACATAATAGGTTCACAAACCACCGCGTCAACAATGGGTTCCTTGCCTGAAGACAAGGAGTGATGGCTAGTAAACACAGATTGTGTTTTGTCAAAGATGAAAAGCTCTTGGTTCCTTGGCTAACTACGAAACATCAACACCCAATGTTGGCTTCACTATCTACTCCTTTGCTTCACAATCACTTCCATCCTTCCTCTGCATTACTATCACCATTGCTGTTGCTTCTATCCTTTCCAATGTCTGCTGCTTCTATCCTTTCCAATGTCTGCAAGTGAACACTACAGATATGTAAATCCTTGGTTTGACAAGGAAAAAAAACCAGCTACAATCCGTATCTGAGTTTTGGACAATGATGAGAAAGAAAGAGAGTGATTAGGGAGTGGAAGAGAAGGATAATTAGTCTTTTGGTTTTTTTTTCTCCCATTAGTCTTTTAGTTTTTAATTTAAGTTCATTTTTTTTTACTATTAAATTATCCAAATTAGCATTATTTTTCCCACATCATCAATTCTAACCGGGTGTAATTTCCACACATTTAATTTGATGAATAATAATTAAGCTTATGTTGTCAATTAACATGCCATATTAACAAAGAGTTAATACTAACGACCTATTGATTCGAATGAAAGAAACTTAATTCCTCTTAAATAAGATATTAAGTTTAAGTTTTATAAATAAAAAGATAAATGCTGTGAGAGTTTTCCCTCTTATGTGATTTAACTTGATTCGACTCAGAATTAGCCATGGCTCAATATGACTTCTAGATATAAGGGGTTTAGTAAAAAAAAACCAAAAAAAAAAAAAAAAGGTTAATGAAAGGACTAAAAAAGAGCCAAAAAAAATTTTAAGGACCAAAGCTATGATATAGTTAAGTGAGGGATCAAATTGAGGTTTGACCAAATTTCAAACTTCTGTTCTATTCTCTGCAACCCAATCCAGTTTCCTTTATAAGTTGTGTTTTTTTTTTCTTCTTCTTCTTTTCTTTTTTCCTTTTTTGGGATCATCCACTTTCCTTTATAAGTTAGTCCTTAATTTGGAATATTTCACATGGATGGATGGGTTAGTCCTTAATTGTTATATAATTAATTAAGGCACCAGCTGGAACAATTAAATAAAATAATACAAAACATGTACATGGTGAAAACATGAAATCATCATGAGTCGGCCAAATCCACTGTCACGATTAGCTCATTAAGATTTGTTAATGCACGGTTATATATGATTCCTGAAGTTTGAGTCTCAATGAAATTGGAAAGTAATAATTATTATTTTTGACATAAAAAAAATTGATAAAAAACATTAAAAAATACTAGAGATTATTTGAGGAAGAAGGAGAAAAAACATAGCACATGTACATGCGAAGCAATAAATGAATACACTAGCTAGAGTAATGTATGTTCACAACTAGTACAAATCAAGCAGGGAGAATAAATGAGTGATTGAGGGTGTGTTTGAGATTATTATAAGATACTGTAATTGTAGTTATGGTTGTGCTGAACTATATCATATTATAATTGTAATTGAAAGTTTTTTAGATGTTTAATTATTTATTTTTTAAAAGTATTATAGATGAAATATAATAAATTTTATTACTTATTAATTAAAATTTTGAAAATATTATATAATAAATAATTACTAAAATAAATAATATTTACTACTTTTTAATAATTTAGGTTCTTTAAGTTTTTTATGATAGGTATTTTTTTGAGTTTCGTAAAATAGTAACTTATAAGGAGAAAATGATTTTTTATTTTTTTTATGAAATATTTAAATAAATGAGTTATTAAATTTAAACAAAATATTATAAATTATAATATAATTGAATTAAATGAGGTTGGATTTTAATGGGTAATTTTGTAATTGTATTAAGTATTAAATGTTATCTGTAAAAGTCACAATTAGAAAGCTCCAAAATGAGATTTCTGGTTTTATATATAAAAAAATCCGTGATGGTTTTTTACAATTTTTAGAAAAAGCAATCTGAAAAAAAAAAGTTACCAAACACATATATATCCAAAAGTATTATACATCTACATGAAAAAACTCCCAACTACGATACCAAACAATGAGATTTCTGGCTTTATATATAAAATTACTAAAAATCTACCGTGGTTTTTTGCAATTTTTAGAAAAAGCAATCTGAAAAAAAAAAAAATTACCAAACATACATATATCTAAAAGTATTATACATCTACATGAAAAAAACTCCCAACTACAATACCAAACACACCCTGAGTTTATGAAACAATTATATACATATATATAGGTAATTAGTGTTGATTTGGGTCATTTGTTTTAGTGTTTTGAAAACAACTATTAGCAGTTATTTAACTCTAATCAAATAGTTTAAATACTTTAAATTATAAATGGCAATGATTATCTGTGGTCAAATATCGACTATCTATTATCATCTATGTATGAATAAATATCCACTAATACTATAAATTAACAACTATTTTATTTTATAATCCAACAACTAAGATGATGACACTATATTTAGTAATATCATTGCAACTGTTTGATTTTAAAATTCATAACTAATAATTTATATAAGATTTGCATGTATGTTAGTGAATTTTATTTGATTAGTTATTGATACATAAAAAAGGCGCTTTAGAAAAAATTATTGAAAAAATGGCTCGAACTATATACATAGGTACATGGTGTGAAAAGAATATGCTTAGAGAATATAAATATGTGATTATAACTGCAAATTAAGGATGTGAGATAAGTAAGAGATTGAGCTCATGAATCAAAAATATCTTATACATTAATCATTGAGCTTGAAGGGCTTAATTGCCACTAAAAGAACTATAAGGAATGATATACTGATGGAGAAGAAGTTTGAGGGCTTACTTAACTCTTTTCCTTGTATAAATGTCTTTCGAAGTTCATGTAATATATGAATCCTTTCATATAGCACCCTTTCATATATCCTTATGGGTCCCACTTTATTCATCAATATTGTGTCTAATTACCATACAAATATTTCAACATAATAATTACTTTTTTAATAAAATTATATCTATCAAACTCTTTACAATATACACAAACATTACATTAAACTTATATACATGTTTATGTGAGTATTTTTTGCTTTTAACTCTATATCTAAATACTTAAATCAAACTTCATTTCCTCTTAATAAAAATTGGGATATTTTGAATCAAAACATGATACATCTAATCTTGGCTTTAATTTATATAACAACTCAAATAATAAAATCAAACTTGTAGCTAATGTAAATGAAATCAAATAATTTTTTTTGGAAGAATTTTAACTTCTTCTTTTTTTAATTTTCAATTAAGTCCTCATAGTTGTGTAATTATCCTCCGAATAGTTTTATGTTCAAACACAGTTATGACTCGTAATCTTGACAAGCTTAGCTATCAATTGAATGCTTGAGATATCTTACCATAATTACCAAGATACAGTATCACCCGAATGAGCAATAAATAGATGGCCTTTCTTCCACTTTCTCTTCATCCAAACAAATCATCCCCCATGGAAAATTTTGTTTCCAAGCCTTGCTCTTCCGAGAGCTCTAGTATCTCCGCCACCTCATCCGAAGAAGTTAACGGCAGCAGCGAAGCAATGATAATGAAGGCAAAATTGAAGGGGAAATTCACAGAAGATCAATCCGAGCCAACTCACCCTGGTCCGGATTTGTGTCTTTCCATTAAAGAGAGATCACCAAGAGACCAAGGTTCAATTCATGGGTCGGATGTGGAACTCAAGCTCTCTAACATGAGCTCTTCTTATCAAGCATACCAATCCGGCGCCTCTGAAAGTTTGGAGAAGGACTTTCAAGCAGTCAAACCCAAGGCTTTTACCTGCAGCTTCTGTAAAAAGGAGTTCTCAACGTCTCAAGCCCTTGGAGGTCATCAGAACGCACATAAACAGGAGCGTGCGATGGCAAAACGACGTAAAGAGCTAGATCTTGGAGGGGTAGGGCACCAGGCTTCGCCATACCCTTACTATACTTATTCAAGTTTCTACTCTCGGCCCCCTCTGTATGGATCATACAATAGGGCATTAGGGGTATTAGATCCCAATCCCATGATCCAAAAGCCTCCTCCTCCGTCTTACCCGTGGAACGCATTGGGGTATCGGTTCAGCCAGGGTGGTGGAATCATGATGGACGGCTTCCAATCTCACCGAACTAACACTACTGCTGCTTTTCCAAGAACAATGACAACCGGCTCCGGTGCTTCAGGATCAAGCGGGGCAACCAGCAGTACGCCCAATCTTTTTCCTCAGCAGAGAAGGGATGAACCCGATCATGATCCTCCTGAGGATTCAGGACTTGATTTGACGCTTAAACTTTAATCCCAAAAATTTGAATCAATTCATTGTTATATTATAGATGCATCCTAAGATTGTTATTAGGAGTTAATTTGCTGTGTTTTAGGGTTTCTGTGTGATCCTCATGCTTATGTTAATGGAATTTATACTATCTTTCTGTTGTTTATTATACCAAGTTTTCTTTGACTCCATGGTTTGAGATTGCTTGAACTTTTTTTTTTTTTTTTTTGACCCATTGAAGCCAGAGGACACAGTTAAGGTTTACTAACATAGAAATTTCATCCTTGCCAATTTAAGGCACGCCATTACTTTGACATCAAGGACTATTTTT